GAGTGGTAGAAGTAGAAATCATGTTGGAGACCTAGCCACCAGACTCTAGTGACTCCATTTTGCCCAAGAGGAAGCCAGTTCGCAGAAAGGAGAAGTGAGAGAGACCGGCTCACTGCCTCTTGTGGCTTCGTGGTGGAGCCAGGCCCAAACCCTCTTCAGCTGACTCCCATGCGTTTTCTACTAAACTACTGAGTGTACCAATGCGGGAGTGCCCTAGGGATTTCTGGGCCTCTTATGCTTTGCCCCTGAACTATATGGCCCTAGACCGCTATGTTCTGGGCCCTTGTGTCTGTATTTTATAGCTCTTTTGTCTCCTACCAAATGGCTTGGCAGCCAGCTATCACTGATGAATATTGCCCATTGGGAAGCAATTATGGTTCATCTTCTGTCATGTTGTGGTCAGAGATACTCCAGATGGCCTACCAATTGTTTGTAAAATGAGACTGGCTTCTAAGTGAGGGTCTGAAGGCCCCTGCTTTATGGGAGACATCTAGAAGGTTTACCCAGAGATAGTCTAGCTTGGTGAGTGTTCCATATGCTCTTGAAAAGAAGGTGTATTCTGCTCTCGTTTGGCAGAGTGCTCTGTATAAATGTCAATCAGATCTAGTACTTGATGGGGTTGTTCTGTTCTTCATATTTGCTGGGTTTCCACCCATGAATTCTAGTTTGTGAAGTTTGTAACGTTAGCTTTGATCATTCAGAAGTCTTTGTAGAATTTCTTTCCATGTGAGAGTGTAAGACCTTCGTTCTTATGATAAAATGGGACTTTCTGGCCAGTCAGGTTAGGGATCAACAGTTGGGCATTTTTGGAATGATTGGCCAGATAGTATGATTTGGAGAATTCTGAAGTCTTCCTCTTAACAAACACATATGGACTGTCAAGGTACAAACCTAAACTTCTAAGAACTTCTTTGAATCTCATTGGATTAAGACCTATTGTCTTACCCGAAAAATATCATATCACCTGGCCAACACTATAACTTTTAGCATTTATTATCAACCTATATTATTATTTCATAAAATCTCTAGATTTTCTACAATGATTACATGCTAATATTAATACAATTTATTAGCTTTTAAACATATTTATTGTTTTATATTTTATGTTAATTTATGAAGTCAAGTGGGCCTTAGAAAGCATCACTACGAACAAAGCTAGTGGAGATGATGGAATTCCAGTTGAGCTATTTCAAATCCTGAAAGATGATGCTGTGAAAGTGCTGCACTCAATATGCCAGCAAATTAGCAAAACTCAACAGTGGCCACGGGACTGGAAAAGGTCAGTTTTCATTCCAACCCCAAAGAAAGGCAATGCCAAAGAATGCTCAAACTACCGCACAATTGCACTCATCTCGCACGCTAGTAAAGTAATGCTTAAAATTCTCCAAGCCAGGCTTCAGCAATATGTGAAACGTGAACTTTCATATGTTCAAGCTGGTTTTAGAAAAGGCAGAGGAACCAGAGATTAAATTGCCAATATCCAATGGAACATTGAAAAAGCAAGAGAGTTCCAGAAAAACATCTATTTCTGCTTTCTTGACTATGCCAAAGCCTTTGACTGGATCACAATAAACTGTGGAAAATTCTGAAAGAGATGGGAATACCAGACTACCTGACCTGCCTCTTGACAAACCTGTATGCAGGTTAGGAAGCAACAGTTAGAACTGGACGTGGAACAACAGACTGGTTCCAAATAGGGAAAGGAGTGCGTCAAAGCTGTATATTGTCACCTTGCTTATTTAACTTATATGCAGAGTACATCATGAGAAACACTGGGCTGGAAGAAGCACAAGCTGGAATCAAGATTGCTGGGAGAAATTTCAATAACCTCAGATATGCAGATGACACCACCTTTATGGCAGAAAGTGAAGAAGAACTAAAAAGCCTCTTGATGAAAGTGAAAGAGGAGAGTGAAAAAGTAGGCTTAAAGCTCAACATTCAGAAAGCTAAGATCATGGCATCTGGTCCTATCACTTCATGGAAATACATGGGAAAACAGTGGAAACAGTGTCAGACTATTTTTTTGGGCTCCAAAATCACTGCAGATGGTGATTGCAGCCATGAAATTAAAAAACACTTACTCCTTGGAAGGAAAGTTATGACCAGCCTAGACAGCATATTAAAAAGCAGAGACATTACCTTGCCAACAAAGGTCTGTCTAGTCAAGGCTATGGTTTTTCTAGTGGTCATGTATGGATGTGAGAGTTGGACTGTGAAGAAAGCTGAACATCGAAGAATTGATGCTTTTGAACTGTGGTGTTGGAGAAGACTCTTGAGAGTCCCTTGGACAGCAAGGAGATCCAACCAGTCCATCCTGAAGGAGATCAGTCCTGGGTGCTCATTGGAAGGACTGATGCTGAAGCTGAAATTCCAGTACTTTGGCTACCTCATGTGAAGAGTTGACTCATTGGAAAATATCCTGATGCTGGGAGGGATTGGGGGCAGGAGGGGAAGGGGACGACAGAGGATGAGATGGTTGGATGGCATCACCGACTCGATGGACATGAGTTTGAGTACCAACTCTGGGAGTTGGTGATGGACAGGGAGGTGATGGACATGAGTTTGAGTACCAACTCTGGGAGTTGGTGATGGACAGGGAGGCCTGGCGTGCTGCGATTCATGGGGTCTCAAAGAGTCAGATATGATTGAGCAACTGAACTGAACTGAACTGATGAAATACATAACTATACCAAAAAGATATAACAGATGTCATGTATCACCATCAGAATTAACAGATGCTAACATTTTGCCATATTTGCTTCAAATCTCCTTTTTCTTAAAAGACATTATATGTAACACACATAGTTAAAGCCCCCACCTTCTATTTCCTTTTCCTCCATGCTTCTTTCCCTCCTACGCTCTACCAAGGAAAACATCATTTGAATTTGGTAAGTATCATTCCCATGAATGTTCTGGTACTTTCACTCCAGGAGAATGTATCCACAAATAATATCATAGTTATTTATATAACCAAGATACTTTCATGGTTATTTACTAGTTTTTATAATCAGAGGGAAAAAAAAGACTCATCTGTCATGTTCAGAAGCTTCAGGTCCATTTTAATCTCTATTTTTTCCAACTGGATTTTGCTTTAAACCTCATTTCTATGCTCTTTTTCTGGCGATCTTCTACCCAGCCTATTTCCTACTAGCTAATGTCTTGTCTGGCTTTTGCCAGAAATGGTAACGTGGACCTTGATCCTTGGTTTGGCCTTTCTCAAACAGTGGTCCGTTTGCCTTTGGCTTTTACCATCTCAAATCCCTGTGCTCTGGCCCCCAGAACACCTGTGCTTGGATACCCGGTTGCCTGGTCTGTGAATGAATGTAGCTCTCTTGCCAGACCTGACCTGCCTGCTCAGCATTCCAGCACCCGTAGGCGGGTTCAGGTCCCACCCTGCCTTACCTGTTCTGCTTAGATCTTCCATGTTTGGAACCCAACCCAGCACATCAGGGTAAAGCTGAGACTGGGAGGGTGGAGGCTGGTGAATATAGTGATGATGATTGATAGTAGCTAACATTATTTTTTTTTTTAGTAGCTAACATTCTTGAGTAACATACTATAATCAAAATGGTAACACCTCAGGTGTAACAAGTGTTAAAGATGTGTGTTGTTCAAAACAATAGGTGCTGTTTATAGAGCACCTACATCAAGTACTGTACTAGGCACTTTTAATCTCATTTATTATTTAAAATATCTCATATTTTACAGATGAGAAATCTGAAGAATAGAGAAGCAGTGAAAAGTAAAATGGAAAAAATTACAGGATTTAGAATAAGACAGACTAAGTTGGATTCAAACTCATACTGCCTTTGGCCAATTTTTTAACTTTTTTGAGTTTGACACAAGATGTTAATAGATGCCTAGCAATGATGGCTATTGTTATTGTAGAATATATGGCTTCTTGCCTAAGGTTATACAGCTAGTGTATAGTAGAACTAGTTTCCAGTTTTACTATATGCTGGTATGCAAACCCAGATCTACTTTTCCAAAGAGTTTTTTTTTTTTTCCATTTTTCAGAGAAGTGTGAATGTTATATGTTATCATATGAATGCTGCTTCATTAAAGGGGGTGTCATGGAGTTTGGAAAGAGTACTCAACTTGAAATCAGAATTCTTGGGTCTTGCTCTCCATCACAAATGAGTTGGATGACCTTGGACAATTCATTGCCTCTCTCTTTTTATTAGTTTTCTCATTTATAACATAAAGGAATTGAACTAAATAAACTCTAGGTTAAGTTTGTTCCACTTCTGGCCTTCTATAGCCCCTGATTAGGAATCATAGCACCAAATTGCCATCCCAAGAGAGAGGAAGAAAGGTACCAACATTGATATTTAAAAGAAGACTAAGATAAGAGAGTAGGCAAAGCTTCTATCAGCCAGATGCTTGTCCCAAATCCTTAGCAAATAAAACCAGTTGGATTTCTTTTCTGCTTCTAACTTGAGCCGGGAAGGGATCCAGGTCACAGAGGGTTTTAGAAGACAACGAAACCAGTTGCTCACACATCACATTTTTGGGTAATTTCTTTTCTTCTCTCTTTCTTTCTCTCCTTCTTTCTCTTCTTTTTTTATATTTTTAGAGATTAAGGACTAAAAATAGAAGATGGCTAATTAAGGTAACTAAGTAAGAAAGGAAGAAGAAATGTTATTCCAGATCCAGTTCCCGGTTTATCACTGTTCCTTTTTTCAGTTCTTTCTGATTTTATTTTCTAAAAATAGACATATCTGAAGGCTCATGATCAAGTCCTACTCTCCTGTCCAGTGAATTTTTAACTCTTCTCTGTCACCCTGGGGACACCTGTTTGCTGAAGCAGAAGGTAAAGCTTGGAGAATCCTTTGACTGCTTTTGAAATACTTGAGTGGTCCTTTTGACCTTGGAATCAAGGGAGCATTTATTTGCTCAGTGAGTCTTTACTGAGCTTCTAATACATATCAGTCACTGTGGCAGACACTGGGGATAAATGAGAAAGACTCTTCATTCTCATCTCTCAGGGAGCTTACATGTCAGAGTAAAGAACAAAACACAAAAGTCAATATACAATTGTGAAATCTGAGAGGTTCTACGAAGGAACGATGAAACCACCCCAGTTCCTGCTGTTCCAGCTCTGGCCTTAGAAAGGAATTCCTCTGCTCCGTCTGCACTTCCGCTACATGAGATTCTTCAGTTTGACCACGAATCATCATCCCTAGGCTGTCCCCAGCACATCGTCCTTCCATGTCATCAGGGAAGAGTTCAGAGTCCTCTCGGGCTGCCTGGGACTCTGCTGCCTGGCCTCCTAGGTCACCTCCCCAGCCATCCTCTGTCAGACTGTGTTCTCTGAACACTGATGTGTTTGCAGGTCTCCAATTACCCCCTTCTCTTCCAGCTTTGGGGCCTTTGCTCTTTCTGATCCCTTTGCCAGAAATGTCTCTCTCACCTCTATCCTCACTTGTCCGAATCCTGCTCATTCATCCAGGTTCTTATGCTCCTATATCCTTGCTGCAGCCATTCCCAAACTCCTCTTTCTGCCTCAAGGTATCTGCTTGCCTGCTGCTGCCTTCCCTGATGCCTCATGGCATTTGCTTTATTGTGCTAATCAGAGTGCTCATCATCTCCTGCCTGGTGTGAGATAGTTACATTAGTTATACCCATCCTTGGCCTTACCTACTTATCTGCAATTTGAACACATGGATAGATTTTACCTCAGAATCTCAAATAAGAAGCACAGTTAACACACAATAAGGGGTGAATCAGTGCCCCAATAATAAAGTTAACAATAAGGCATATGAACAGTCATATATAGTTTCACAAAGAGTGTTCCTATATATTATCTAAGTTAATTCACAAAACAACCCTGTGTAAGAGGAGCTATCAGTCGCATGTTATAGATGAGGATATAGCAAATAGTTATTATTACTACTGGGTGCTGACACTCTACTAGGCATTAGGTTAGGGACCTTCCATAAATTACACCATTCAGTCCTTCACTGAAAATGACAGCCATATGTACTGAACCCTTACTCTACGAACTATAATCATGTCCATTTTACAGATAAAAAAACAGAATCAGAGAGATTACACAGCTGCTTAATAGTGTACAAATGATCAGAGCAGAGCTGGTCTTATACATACGAAGCTCATGTTCTTGAACCACTCATGACAAGGGCCAGCCTAGGTTTGTACAAATTTCCTCAGCCATGTGAACGCTGTGATTCTTTAACATACCTGTGGGTCTGCTCTGCTCAGTGCATTGGGCTAGACTTTGCGTTTGTTGGGCATGGTAGGGACTTACAATGACTAAGATATAGTACCTTGCTTCCAAGTTGTTGTTGTTTAGTCACTAAGTTGCATTACAATCCGATGGGCTGTAGCCTGCCAGGCTCCTCTGACCATGGCATTTTCCAGGCAAGAATATTGGAGTGGCTTGCCATTTCCTTCTTCAGGGGATCTTCCTGACCCAGGGATCAAACCCAGGTCTCCTTCATTGCAGGCAGATTCTTTACCACTAAGTCACCAGGGAAGCCCTTGCTTCAAAGAGGCAAATACAAAACAATTAAAATATTCTGCTTACCTATTCCTTCTCTCTCTCTCTTTTTTTCCCCTAGTGTGCTACTTGTTGCTGCTTCTTTATTCAGACATCTGGTGGAGATCTTGAGGGCACATGGGAGACAGACCTACAGTTAAGTCCAGAGTGGTCAGCAAAGGTAAGGGGCTAGGATTAGTCCCAGAAGTGAGTGAAGCTGGCCTTGTTTTTTGGAGTCAGGAGCAATGAGGGGGCTTGGACACTTCTGGCACCGGGGAAAGTAGCAGCTGTTTGTGCCCAATTTCATACTCTGGACTTGGATAGAGGTGAGAATATGGGAGTAGTGATCCAAGGCCATAGGGAGGGAGGCCAATGGCCATGCTGGAGATGCCCAGGTCACTTTGAGCAACTCCTCTCTATGAGTAGGTGGATCTTTGCTCCCCTGGAAGACCACAGTATGGGTACCAGACACACCCTAGGACAAGGATGGGAGTCCCAAGTGTGGCTCCCCAGTTGGTCACTCACCAGCAGATGCCTGTGAACAAGTCATATCCCTCGCCGACACTCCATTTCTAGAAGGACTCTGTGAAATGGACATACGACTTGCTACTGTGCTTGTGTGGTCATGATGTTCATGAGCGTGCTTGGCCCACTGTGAATGTACAGACAGGTGAGGCGCTGAGGAAGAGGAGTCTGGGTTTTGCCTCCTCTGGAGTTCCTCAAGAGGCAGTTATGCTGATGGAAGGCACAGCAGATTGACTCACACATTACTGACCGGAGATGGGGACGGTTTTCACTGTTACCCAGTTTCCAGCTCCAGAACTATTAAACCTACCCGTGAGAATCAGCAGCACTAGCAAGTTTTGTCTGGGAGTGGGTGGAGGTGCTGGCTAGGATGGGCGAGCAGCGCACGGAGAAAGGATGGGGAAGGATGGGTGAATGTAGTCGGGATCCATGCCTGTAAGTTACTGTCACTGAAGTGAGCGCTGCTCAGGTTCCAACCTGGTGAGGGAAAGGGAGAGGCCGTCGGGAGATCGGGTTCTCTCAGCTCTGCATTGATTCATCCTATGTCCCGAGGGCACCCCAGCTTCTCTCCCAGCCTCAGTTTCTCCCTCTGTAAAATAAGATGCTACTTTCCCAAAGGTTGCAAAAGTCTAAGGTGTTTCTCATTCACGGGGAGTTTTCGACCGATGAGTGAGACAGGAAAAACACCAGTCTTTGCCCCGGATCCCCAGGGCCCGGGCCTCTTAAACCAATTTTGGAACCACTGCCTGGCAGTAGTGGGATAAAGCCAGAGGTTTCCTGTACGTCGGTGAGCGTGCGTGCGTGACAAGAGGGTTTTTAAATGAATCACTTTGTATCTAGCGGGGCAGCACCTGCTCCTCAGTCTCCACAGGCAGCGTGAGCAACACAATCATTCAAAAGCTGCCGCTTTCCATTCACGTCTATAATTAGAGAGCGGGCTGCGCAGGCAGCTGGCGCTGCAGGGGGCAGGGTCTATCCTTAGCCCCACCCCCTTTCATTCTGATCCCCGCCCTCCGCCCCCGGAGTCTCCGGCAGCCCTCACCCCACGCTAGCCCCGGGCTAGGGGCTTGGCTCTTAGCCGCAGAATTCCTTCCTTTACTGCCTGGCCGCGGAGTCCCCCTCCGCACCCTCACCTTGGGGACCCCTGTCAAGAAGGGTGGCTGTATTTGGGGTGGCATCCCCCTTAACCCCACCCGGCTACTCTGGCGTCCCGCCCTCCCCGCTCCCGCCTGCTCTCCCTCCCTGCCCGCCGCCCCTCCCAGCCACCTCTCCCTCTTTGTCGCATTACATAGTAATCTGAGATGCATTGGATGAGCTCCAGGGAACAGAATGTACTTGGCAGAGACGCGGGGCTTGATGTCTGCAAAATGTCGGAAACGCAGCCAAGAGCTGCTAACTGGGTCATTAACCTCCAAAAGCAAAGCGAGGACTGTAGGCCCGCTCTGCCTCCCTTCATCTCGCCAATAAAAGTGCCTCAGTGTGAGGGGAAGAAAAAGCCCAAGGTTGGCTGCTTTGATTTCTAGGCACCAAAGGCAGGCCCAGCCCCTCCTCCTGGCCCGGGCTCTCTGGCCGCCCCTGCGCGGCGTCCCAGTGTACAAGTGGCCTTTGAAAGGCCGGGCCACCCCGCGGGGCCAAGCTCGCGCCTCTGGAAAGATGTTACCCGGCAGCCCTCGCCTACCGCACAGCCTCTGGCCCATTTCATTGGGTCCTGGAGGAGAAATGGGTGTGGGGTGGGGAAGGATTAATGGAAAAGCTTCTAGGTCCATTCCAGATCCCAGGACTAGAGGGAAGGGTTTGCCATTCCCCTTCTGCGATGCCCCCTCTACCTCCTTCCCTCCTACTTGGCCTTCTCTTCCCCTTTCTCCTCTTCTCTCTTGTCTCCTTTCTGAGACCAGGCTGTGGGGTGGCTGTCTGGGTACTGGCTGGCTCCAGGAGACTTGAGCTCTGTCACTTACTGTGTGACCTTGGATGAGTCATCCATTTGTCTTCTCCTTCATTCCCTTATATGTCAATTGCTGGCCACAGTAACACCTTCCTGACCCATCTAGCAAAATCGTGAGGCTCAGACGTGAATGTCACTTACAAACTGCAAAACTCTGCTTATTGTCACTGGCTGACTTAGTGTCACTGACTTTTGACTCCTCTGAAAGCCCCAAGGTCCAAACTTCTGGATCTGTGTATGCTCCTGAAAAACATAGGAATATAAAGTAGTCTTAACCATGAGGCTTCAAAGGTTTGAACACTCACAAGGGGGTAGCCCCTAAAAATCCACCCCTCTCAAGATGTCTAGCCCTGTTGGATTGCCAAACAGACACTTCCCCCTGACATCCAAACCCACTTCTCCCGCGGCTGGATGGAAAGAGAAAGTGCATGGCACTCAAACCCAGAGAGACGGTGCAGTTCCTCAAATGATGAGACCAGCTTACTTGGTGGAGGGAGGGAAGACACTTGGCTTGTGAGAATGGCACTTCTGGATTGTCTTACCCCAAGTCCAGGACTGGGAAAGCTGATTTATGCAACCCTACTCAGGAAAAGAGGACAGCTTATCCCCTGGTGGTGTTCACAGAATTAGAACCAAGTTCAACCAGGCATCAGCATTCTTCCTGCCTCATCCCTGCCGGGGTTCACTTTGCCCTCCATGTGGCCATGGCAGATCATTCTGCCTCCTCACCATGTCTCATGTAACCCACACTGCCCTGCCACTGGCCCTTGCCTGAAGCTTCTTTCTTAAATTTACCTGGCAGACTACTTGATCTCTCATGACCTTACATTCAAATTCTTTGCTTCCTTCAAAACACAGCTCAAATGCCAACTCCTCTTTCTAGATGTGACGTCTTTCTCTTTCAGCTCTTCTTGGGACTTTTTAATACTGTTTTGGTGTAACCAACCATCTTCGTGCTTATTACATCCTTCCTGTGGAGTAGACTTTTGTCTATGGATAGGAACCCTTCATTGCTGATCTCAGCTCTGAAGGTCAATGTGACCATAGATCCTGGTTTGCCTTCCTACTTTATGCCTGTTTCTCTGATATAATTAATGTCTTCCTCTTTTACCCTGGAGTGCTCTGGTCTGGATGATAAATTCTATGGTCACCTTATTGAGAGTTTCTATCCAAGCACCTGGCATGTGAGTAGACTTAGTGAATGTTGTGAACTGTCTAGGAGAACATGTAAGAGCTATTTCTTGCCTGATTCTCTAGGGGCCTTCAGCCATATCTTTTTCTTCAGTCTGGAGGCATTTGTTTCTCTTCCTCTTCTCTGAGGAAGAACTACAGAAGGACCTACTACCACTTTCTTTTCATGACAAGCCTTTCCAGGATTACCCAAAAATGTTCTGACCCAACTAGAAGTGGCTTACCTCAACCCTTCCCAGGTTTCTCAGCCTCTCAAGAGTCAGACAGCTGCTGGATATTGGAAATAG